AAAAAAAAAAAAAAAAAAAAAAAAAAAAAAAAAAAAAAAAAAAAGAACTATACACAACATATGTAAACCAGAACAACAAAATAATGAAAAATAAATCGAGAGAACTCTAACCTCGTAGATCAATTGACAGCCCAGAGACAGGCTTACTATCACTAGCTTCAGCCATTGCTTTGGTTACAGTTTTCTCATTTTTACCAGAAGACGAGACAAACTTCCGGTAGAAAAATGGCGATGATGATATGTTGCTAGAACTCGAAAGCTTAGCCCATGATGATGCTTTAGACCTGCTGCTAACAGTTGTTCCACATGGCTTCAAGCCTTTCCTAGACTGCAATTGGCAGTGTCTTAGTGTTGCTATCTGAAGGTTAGAAGCTGCTGCCGCCATCTTCAGGAAATAGTATCTCGCAGAAGAGAATCGAGATCTGCCCAATTTAACCACGGGAACAGTAAGGAGCTAGGCTTCAAATGTTAAATAAAATACCGTTTCATTTATGTGAAGTTCAATGGAGGAGGGAAAAAATAGTGATCTAACTTGGCTACTTTTTAAGGTCACAATAGACAACTTCAAATAAAATACAGGGGCAAAAAAAAAAAAAAAAAAAATGAGAACTCGAGATTCTGGTTATTCATTCTCTGCTTAGCTGTTTAAAACTTGGGGGTTGGAATCCACTAATATGACCAATATTCAAGATCCGAAGCACCAAAATCGCTATAAGAATTGCCAGCTAGTTCAGTTCCAGTTATGTATTAACGGCCCTGATTTATTAGAAAAGGACGAAACCTGTTTATCTCAACATTAAACACTCATTTCCAAACAGGATGACACAAATTTATTATGCCATTGGTTTTTGTAATCCTTAAACAATTATTTGGCACAAGATCCTCCAGGAAAAAATATATTTCCATCGCCATGGTAGATAAAATTATCTTCTGAGGAATAACAAAATTATATCGATCAGTTAACAAATGGCGCAAAACAACTAGTCATAGTAATCTAAAACGGACAAGAGACTCGGTCATAGTTTCCAATAAAGAATACCAACATGTAACTACATTACAAAACTCGCATTCGGAAACAGAAATTCCAGAGACTAACAAAATTCGAATAAGAAAACAAAACCACATGGATCTACCAGTTAGATTGCGCGAAAAACTAAAACGAAACTAAATCGAGAAAAGGTTGAAACAAGCTTCTAGTCGTTGGAGCAGTGAAATGCTAATGAAAAATTGGCCACAACACAAAAAGATAGAAAGGAATTGCTTACATTTTTGTGACAGAGAACGGCAATGTGAAGAGAAAAGGGACTTTGGAGAAGTTAAAAAGCAGAGTTTCCCGAAATCCAGAAATAGAAATAGAAATGAAATGGGAAAAAGTGGGTTGGAAACGAGAATGGTGAGGTAGAAGCTTATACGGGTTTCGATGATAACAAAGATGGAAAGGGTTGGGGCTTCGAAAATGTCGACAGCCGCGAAGTAGATCGCGCGTACACTATGCTCTCAATTTTTTCCCTCTTTTTCAAAGGATCCATTTTAAAATGTATTTTACCCAAATACCCCCATCAAATTCTCCCACTCTAGTCAACTATTTAATGAATGTTGGCCTAGTGATGGAATATTTAGTTAGTTCTTTTTAAATAGTAAAGTATGTCAAATTAATGAAATGGATTATTACTCAAACTATTTAGTTAATTAGTATTATATATCAAATTTATTGAATTAGATAATTTAGTAAAATATTTATTTACTTAGTAGTGTTGTGGGCTATTTGGACTCGTGAGGCATAATCGAGATTAGTTCAGATGGGACTAAACCCAAAAGCAAATAAAACTGGACCCAAATGGGCTTCGGACAAGAGATGGATTGCCCAAATCCCCTCCAGCCTATCCATTTGTTGAGTGGGGCATGTTTGTAATATCCAAATTTACAGAAAATTTGAAGAAAATGAAACTAAAAAATAAATGGAAAATAAGGAAAAGAACACGGAAAATAAGAATGAGGAAAAAAATAAAATTCAGAATTTCAAAATTAAAAATAATAATAATGTTAAAAAAAAAATAGATTTTTTTTTTTTTTTTCTACTGCTCTAGGATGAACTCCATAAATAACGAGTAAACCTAACAAGATAAATAAGCTCCAAGAAGCTGTATGGTTAAACAATGAGTTAAGCTCTTAGAAACTAGACATTAAATGTTAATAATAGTGAGCTACAAGGAGCGAACTATTAGAATAGATGATTCAAAGAGAGTCTCATTCGTGCTATAAATAATAAGGATCTACAACCCTAATACACGTGAATGATATAAGGTAGATGTAAGATATAAATAATGAAATTCATTCATGCTACTCTTCTTTTGAATTAAGTGTATATTTTGGAGGAGGTGGATAAATTTAAATCCTAATTTAGGATCGGATGATTAAAATTAAAGTTTCAGTTAGTAATAAAAAGAAATTACGTTTTAGAATCAAGAGATGTGCGCATGAGGACAATTTCATTATTGAACGGTAATTAAATCAATTTAATGTAACCGAGCTTCAATTAAAAGAAAAAAAGGGATGAAGACAGAAATCAAATTCTTAAATAAAAACAAAATTTTGAAATCTACAATAATTTAACAAGTGACACCTAGCTCTTGCCATGCGTTACTTGAAAAGAACCCGAGGCAATGCCCAGCGTTCAAGAAAAAGGCTCCCTCCGCTGTTCTCTTGCTACCCGTGGTTGTTCTCTGCTGCCATTGCTTCCTTATTCATTATTTCCTTTCTATACCTTATGCCGCAGGCGTTGCAAAGGCTCTGAAATATTAATCCACCATCCACTATATTACAACCATTATGCTTCTCAATTCACTACTTTCTATTTTAACATCTTAATTAATCTCGTACCTTAGGACCAAGAGGGCCTTTACGCCACATGGGCGTGAAATTGGTGTTGCAATTGTAGTTGGTGCACCTCCTCTCGACCTCGTTGCAGGCAGAAACTCGGCGCCGTTGCAAACCTCTCCGCCGGCCGCCCCCGGAGGAAGCTTCCGCTTCATGATCATCTGTTTTTCTACAAGCAGGGTTGAGGAGTGTGTACTGGTCATTATTGTAATTTTGAAGAGGAAGATTGGGCATGCCATTTGCAGTGCTGCCAATGGTCTTCGCTGGATAAGTGTTGCAGTATAAACTTGGATGAAGCTGCCCAAAGTTGTTTGACTTGAGAACATAGGTTTTCAGCTCTTTTGACCATACAATTTGGTGAGGGTTGTAATTCGCCTCACTCATCATCTCACCACTTCTGCCACCGGAAGACGCCAACCCATGATTATTGTTCACCATCACCTGTTTGAGTTTTGGTTTAATATCATTGGATTAATCAGTGATACATCCGATTTGAATTTCCACGCATTTCCATATCAGAACTATACATCCTTAATCATCATATATGTATATGTATATCACATTGACATTAAAGCTTCAAATTCCTAACTCTAAAATGGAAAGAAGAAAAAAATCTGGAAGCACTAGGATGGAAGGCTAGTTAATATTAAGATCGTGTACACACTAGTGATTATTAAATTTAGTCAAATCACGCCTCAATTGAAAAACCCCTAATCAAGATTAGGCAGAGACAGCACAATAATCAGTTTTGAAAAAGTTGTTTGAAATTTTGATTGAGATCTGCAAAAGCTGATATTTGATCCAATTAAGCAAAAGAGATTGGGGTTTGTTTTGAAAATAAGGCAGGAGAGAAGCAAACCTGGTGAGGTTGAAGCGCATGATGGTTGATACTGTGAAGAGGAGCGGAGAAAAATGGTTTAGAATGATCAATATCAGGACGTTCACCGGCATTGGCATTGGCATTGGCATTGGCATTGGCGTTGGCATTGGCGTTGGCATTGGCGTTGCCGTTGTCATTGCCATTGGGGAAGCCAAGTCGGAGTGTCAAATCGACCTGACTTTCTGAGTGAAACCGAGGATGATCATATTCTTGGGTTTTCATTTGAGACATCGGACGCCATATGTGAGGCTCCATTTTGTTGTTGGGTAGATGAAGAAAAAGTTAGTTAAAATGCGAGCGCATACATAGACTGGGTTCATATTTGTGTATGTGTGTGTGTGTGTATATATATATTCACCTGGGGCGCCGATTGGGGAGAGAGGAAAGGATTAATCATATGGGTGCATGAAAATCTTAAAAACCGATGTATTGACAAGCTGGAAGGATGATAATTAAAGTAGAAAAGGACAAAGCGGGGTTTTAAGAAGAGACAAAAAGGGAAATCATGGGTGTAGCTAGACACCGAGAGACAGAGTTGAATGGAAAATGTTAATTATATTGTGAACGCGAAGAAATTTTAAATTAAGAGGAAGATCAGAAAAGACATTAAGAGGAGGAGGAATAGAAGCATGAGGGTGTGTGTGTGTGTGTACACGGAAAAAGAGGGAGGAAATGATTGGTCCCTATGTGTGCATGTCTGAAGCTGTGGTTTGAAACATTGGTTGAAAATTCCACGTGTTGGGAATCGGGGGATTTGGTGAAGGAGAGGGACAGGGTGGAAGCGATTAGATTTTGAAGTTAAATTATGAGAGTTAGGGAAGGAGTGAGCGTGGTTTGAACAAAACTGGGCTGTATCCACTTATAGTTTCCTTCACTTTTGGCAACCTTATTATTAACCTTTGTCTTCTTCTCCATCACACGAGATCCCTTCCTTTCCTTCCTCTTTATCCAAGTAAGTAATTGCTATCATTTTATTTATTCCCCCTCCTCTCTTTCTCCATATCTGCCTTGCATCAATCAATTCTTCCAACCTTTTTCCGATTCATATCCTCCTCCACATTTACCCATATACGTTACCCACCCTCAATATTCCCTTTTTCTTTTTCACCTCAACTTCCCTGACCTAGACTAAACCTAGATCGAAGGTATATACTTTATATATCATTTAAAAACTATATGCTAAAAGTGAACAATATCATATTATTGTGAAGAGAGTCATAATCTTAATTTAGTTATATCAACAAAATCCTCAATCGTCGAACAAAAATGTTGTGAGCCTCTAATATGTAGTCAAGAGTGACTCCAGTGTCGAACAAATGATGTACTTTGTTTGAGAATTTTAGAGAATGAGTCCAGGTTCGATGAAAGGGAGGCTATTTGAAGGCTCCATAGGCCTCAAGGGGGGGCTATATGTTGTCCTTTGTTCGAGGGGAGGATTGTTGGAATATATCTCTATTGACATGGGGCTTTTGGGATAAATCAAAAGCAAAGCTATAAGAGCTTATGCATAAAGTATGTGGACAATATCATATCATCGCGTAGAGTTGTAAAATTACTAGAAGAATCTTTATTTAAAGAAAAATGAGAAAGATAAAAATATGTGTAGTATGTATACATGAAGCTGATGTATGTATGTAGGAAGCTCAAAAATGGAATATCTGTTGGAGGATAAGGAAAGGAGTGATGGTATAAAAATCTATGGGCCATTGAGTTTGAAGTTCCACAGGATTCGTCTGGTGAGGGAAGATTCACGTGCGAAGGCCAAACGCAAGCAGCCGCTCACTGCTGGGTCAATCAAGAATATTTGACGAGTGTTTGGTGCAGTTCCCATACCAACATAAAAAGCTTGGGGCATAGCTGCCACGTTTCACAGCAAGCCGAGAAAATCAATGCCGCCCCAAATTTAACTAATTTACATTTTGTCTTCTCTTAAAACTCCACAAGTTACTCTTAAATGATGTCACTAGCTATACCAGGCGGTTCCGTTTATGAAAATATAATTCACTTTTCGAATTTGTATTCTTCAGGTCTTGTTGCTTAATTACCCCTATTTCCATTGGCAAGTCATTAGTGACAAAGCACTCTCCAACAGCATGGAATATTGAATAAGCTTGTCCTAGTGGCAAAGCACTATGGGCTCACATGCAGCTTGTAGTCAGCTCAACTCCAATTCAGTTCACTAACATTTTCTAGTTGGCATGGGTCATTTTGGTGTGTTCTGGACCAAATTAACCCTAATTTTGGATGGTACAGATCACTTAAACTCTCATTTGGGTAGTTTAGTAGCGTTTTCATTCTAGGATAATCAAACATGGTTAGAGTTGAATTTATGCGACGATCAACTAAATATAAGAACATTGAATTGAGCTGATGACAATAAATGTTTTACCATTGAAAGGCCTAAAAGTTGATTAGATGAGTTTTTTGATGCATGAATAACAAGTTTCTATTATGGGTTATTGAATTAGTCATATTTTATTTGATGTGCGAGCAATCACGTATAATGGATCATAACTTTATAATAATAATTCTATGTTATAAGAAATACCATAAACATATTAGGCAGATGTTACATGAAAATGTGGCTGTCATGCATTATATCATATAATAAAAATAAGTGTCATTACATTTTCAATCCAAATCATTTTTCGATTTCTTCCCCTACGTTGCATACGTGGATCCATAATCCATTTGGGGTCCATTCACCTCCACGTGACCAATGTTCTGCTGCTGCTTTTAAATAACAATCTCTCAGTTGAAAACTCGAAGCATTCATACCCGCCATGGGAGTTGGAAGCAAAATGGAAAAGGCGGTCCATGAGCGAGTTCCACACGCAAAGCCTCCTTTCACTCTCAGCCAAATCAAGAAAGCCATTCCTCCCCACTGCTTCCACCGCTCTCTTCTCCGTTCCTTCTCCTGCTTAATTTCCGACCTCGCCTTCGTCTCTCTGTTCTTCTACCTTGCCATTGCCTATTTGCCCCTTATCCCCCACCCGGCCTCCTACATTGCATGGCCCCTTTACTGGGTTTTCCAAGGCTGCATCCTCACTGGCGTCTGGGTCATCGCTCACGAGTGCGGTCACCACGCTTTCTCCGACTACCAATTAATCGACGACATCGTTGGCCTCTTCTTCCACTCTGCTCTCCTCGTCCCCTACTTCTCCTGGAAATACAGTCACCGGCGCCACCACTCCAACACGGTCTCCCTCGAACGGGATGAGGTCTTTGTCCCCAAGCCAAAATCCCAAATCCCCTGGTTTTTAAAGTACTTCAACAACCCACCAGGGAGGCTCATTTCACTCCTCGGAACACTCACCCTGGGCTGGCCCTTGTACTTGGCCTTCAACGTCTCGGGCCGTCCCTACGACCGATTTGCGTGCCACTACGATCCCCACGGTCCAATATTCACGAAACGAGAGTGGGTTCAAATTTACATTTCGGATACCGGGATTTTAGGCATGTGTTTCGTGCTGTACCGAATTGGCGTGGCGAAAGGGGCGCTGTGGGTGATGCGTATTTACGGAATTCCGTTGCTGATAGTGAATGGGTTTTTGGTCTTGATCACGTACTTGCAGCACACCCATCCAGCGTTGCCGCACTACGACGCTGCGGAATGGGATTGGCTGAGAGGTGCCTTGGCGACTGTGGACAGAGACTATGGGGTACTGAACAGAGTGTTTCATAACATAACGGACACGCATGTGGTTCACCATTTGTTCTCCACGATGCCGCATTATCATGCGAAGGAGGCGACGGAAGCGGTGAAGCCAGTACTGGGAGAATATTACCGGCTCGATAGGACCCCTGTTTTGAAGGCCATCTGGAGGGAAGCTAAGGAGTGTGTTTACGTTGCGCCTGATGAGGATGCTAATTCTGATAAAGGAGTCATCTGGTACCGCAACAAGCTCTGAGTCTGTCCCGAATAAAAACTGAAGCCCACCAAAGGGAAAAATGGAAGATCAAAATGGTGGGATCTCGCAGTTTCTTTCTCTTTTTCTTGCTCTTCTTCCTTTTATGGTCTGTCTGTACGTATTTGAAGGAAGACCCGTAGTGTTCTACTGTTATGAAGGATGAACCTTTTGAATGTGTATGTGTGGTTTTTTTAATCCGTTAATTAAGGTCAACTTTTATTGGTGGGTTTACAATATATATAAGTCATGTTGTTGCTAATTCTATTCATTTGATTAACTAAAATGCAACCAGTTGGAAAACTGAGTACTTATCAAATGGACTACTAGCACGGTAAGTAATTCAAATATTAAAATTAACGGGTTGAATTAGTTTTATATTTTACACAATTTTATGTCATTTGACAGTTACAATAAAATAGTTTCTTTTTTTTTTTTCCCTAAAAGTTTAATTAGGGATTAAAATTTTTAATCGGTATAAGTCTAAATTTGAACAATAAAATAATATGATAACCCAAACTTGACCGATACAAAAATATTATAAAAACATTAAAAGTTGCACCAATATTGAATTTAATACGTACTCTAATTTTAAGAGCTTACAATACAAGAAATTTTACATAAGAGTATTTTAAAATGATTGAAATGAACTTCACCTTCAAAAATCTCTCCAAGTTATAGTTTTAATTCGTGAATATACATGACAAGTACGTTTAAAAATGTATAACCATTTTTTTATAATAATTTAAAAAGTTACGAAGTGGTTAACTGTTTTGATATCACTTCCAAACGTATATTAAATATATAATTAAAATGGGAGATTTTAACTTCATAGTATTCTACCAAATAAACTGTTAACATATACATTCCAACCCACATGTCAAAAATCCTAAGTAAGTCTTGATCACACATATAATTATCATAATTAAAGCAACAACCTAACCAGTCTCGTTAATCATAATTATAATAGTTTATTTAAACAGAAACATAGAGTGTTAAGAAAAAACCTTGTCGCGATGATACGAGAAGAGAACAGAAACGTTGTGGCTAGCTTTCTCTAAAATAATAGACGACGTGTAAAACTATGGAGGCATGGAAGTTGTGGTTCTACACGTGTAAAATGTCGGTGCAACTAAAATAACATGTGGAAATTTCTATGAACAGAACAGAACAGAACAGATCCCAATGGAGCTGTCTCCCTCTGTCTACATGCTTTTGTTGTTCCCCCGATGAGCCTAACACATATTCTTAAGTTGCGAGCTTCACAGACACAAAGACATCCCATTTTGACAAATGTTTGGTTTCCTTGTAAACTTACCTTACCAGACGCCAATTTGCTCTTCCTTCTAGCATTTTACACACTTATTAAAGCAGAGTGGGGGAGTTATTGTTTTCTGGGAGATATAGACTAAAAGGAAGAGAGAAGAGCTTTGGAATAAATGGAAATGCAGAAGCGAACCCCAGCAAGCAAATTGGCGTTGGGGGAGCGCATTACACATGCTAAGCCTCCCTTCACCATTACTCAAATCAAGAAAGCCATTCCTCCACGCTGCTTCCAACGATCCCTCTACCGCTCCTTCTCCTACCTAATCTTCGACTCCATCTTCGTCTCTATATTTTATCACATAGCCACCACCTATTTCCACCGTCTTCCCCACCCACTACACTGCCTGGCTTGGCCTCTTTATTGGTTTTGTCAAGGCTGCGTCTTCACCAGCCTCTGGGTCATCGCTCACGAGTGCGGCCATCACGCCTTTTGCGATTACCAATTTGTAGAACATCTCCTTGGCTTCCTGCTCCACTCTTCCCTTCTCATCCCTTACTTCTCTTTCAAATTCAGCCACCGCCGCCACCACTCCAACACCGCATCCCTCGAGCGGGATGAGGTGTTTGTCCCCAAGCCCAAGTCCAGAATGCCCTGGTATTTCAAGCACTTGACCAACCCACCCGCCAGACTCCTCATCATCTTTCTCACCCTCACCCTTGGCAGGCCAATGTACTTAGCCTTCAACAGTTCTGGCCGATTCTACGATAGATTCACCAGCCATTACTATCCAAACAGCCCCATATTCAGCGGAAAAGAATGGCTTCAAGTTCACATATCCAGCGCGGGAGTTGTGGCCTTCTGGTATTTGCTTTACAAATTGGCGGCTGCAAGGGGAATCGCTTGGGTCATCCGCATCTACCTACTGCCCCTAACCGTAATGTATGCGTTTGTGGTGTTGATCTCGTCGTTGCAACACACGCACCCTTCACTCCCATACTACGATTCCAGCGAATGGGACTGGCTTAGAGGAAACTTGGTGACGGTGGATAGAGACAATGGGATTCTGAATAAAGTGTTTCATAATATAACGGACACGCATGTGATTCACCATCTGTTCCCTTCTATGCCGCACTACAACGCCATGGAGGCGACGAGAGCAGTAAAAGAAGTACTGGGAGAGTACTACCACTTCGACGGGACACCCATTTTAAAGGCTGCGTGGAGGGAGTTCAGAGAGTGCATTTATGTAGAGCCAGACGAGGACGAGGGGGGTTCAGCTACCTGCAGTAAAGGGGTCTTCTGGTTCCGTAACAACCTCTGAACAATCTCCTACTTTTATACTTTCATCATATTGGTTACATGTATTAATCGGTCCCAAATCTCACACACATATATATGACAATAAATATGATGAAAATAAACAAAGCAACTGGTAGCGGTAATGGTGGGGTTTTTCTTTTCTTTTCTTTCGAGTATACCCTGTGGTTTTCAACAATTTGCATACTTGAAAGAAGATTTAGCTTTCAACCATTTGCAACTAAATTACATTACTCAATTCTTTATACCATCTACACCCATGAGTATCACTATATCAAACTTAGGCGGAGTCCCACATGCTCTACTGCATTTAATCCATTTATTCGCTAGGTTATAACTCAGATGGATGGCTGTTTGAGATGTCCTAATGAGACGAGCGACACGTGGATTCATTCTCAATGACAGGACTTAGTGAGCTGCGATGAACGACAACGCCTCGAGATTTGGGATGGCGTCAAGACATATGGGCATGTTGATTGGGATCCAAGAGACAAAATGAGATGAGATGTGACGTTGTATTGATAGACCTCGGCCCTGAAAAGGGTCACTGGGTAAAAGCAAGTTGGTTGTGTTGAACATGCAAGTTCTCTCAAGAGTTGTGAAAGTGTCAAGATTACAATACGCCTATCCTTTTTTAAAAAATTTAATTAAATTTCTATGTTTTATCATTTTTTTTTATTTAGTCTTGAAAATTTAGAATAGGAAAAATGTTATCTAATATGTTCTCACCTATTGATTTTAAAAATACAATGAGTGGAAAGTTGAAGTATATATGAAAATGATGAACTAAACTTAATTAATTAAAACATCCCCTCTCCATTGTGAAAAGAAAAGTTGTACCAATAAAATCATGAAAAAAAATAAAATAATACAAATCAATAATAAAATTCTTATTGGGTCGGGCTTAATTGTCTTAGGTGGAACCGGCCCAATGATATAGTTTTGAAAATATAGAGAAAAATGAGGCTACGTTTGTAATTTTGGCCATAATAAATTCTCATTCCTTTAATAAATGGTATGACACATTTGATGACGAAATTCAATCTGACGGTTGAATCATGACCGTCCATCCGTGGTCCTCTCTACTATAAATATCTCGAGGGCGCGCCTTGCACCGACCCAAATCAGTTTCCTCAAGAAATCAAGATTCCTACCTTTTTCTCGGAGTAAAAGGCAAAGCGGATAGAGAAAAATTGTTGGCGAAAATACTCTGGAAAAGCCTGTAACGCCGCATAAGGAGTTTTCTTGACTCGTTATCTAGAATCATCTCTCAAGGGAAGGTGTTCTTCGGATTAATTCGTCGCGAATTTTTTGTTCTTGTTTCAGGTTTGCGATAAGGGATTTTTAATTCTCGATCGTGTTGGCGTGTTTTTGATCTGGAAAGCGAGAGAGATATTATCGTTCGATCTTTAATTTCTTCGTCAAAGCTTTAGGTTCGATATAGTTTGTCATGAACGATCAGAATCCGATAATAAATCAAGCGCAAATGATTAGTATGAACCATCCGCAGATGGCAAACCAGCCTCATGTAATCAATCAGTCTAAAATTATGAACCAGCCACAGGTAATTAATCAACCTCAATTTCTGAACCAAAACCAGCTATTGAGCCATTCTCAGATAATGTCTCAGTCGCGCGCCATCAACCAGGCAAATCTTTTGCCTCAGCCTCAGATGATCGTGAGTCATTCTCTGCCGCCTATGATGAGTAGAAACCATAAGGTATGGGCACGCCTGCAGGCCCCTTTGGATCAGAACAAGAAGTACCGCAATTTCCCGAAGCCCAGCTACGGAATTACGAAGCAGTCAAGGTCGGGACGAGGCAATTGGAAGGGGAAAGGCGTCAGTGACAAAAGGATAAACAATAGAAGAACGGTAAAACCCTTACCGGGTTCCTTAATTGGTCCGAATAATGCTGGAGGGTATCAACCTCCAAGTCTTCACGAGTTGCAGTCTCAAAATCGTATAAAAGCTCGAAAGTTTTACCCAAAAAAGAAGTTCAGTAATAGTTTTGCACCTTATGCGCCTCGGAATACCTCGTCTTTTATAATTCGTGCGAAGAAGTATGGTGGGATCGCTTCACTTGTGTCCCCTAGTCCCGTAACACCAGCCGTTCTTGCTACTCCAATGTTCTCCCCTTCAAGGGAGGCGTTGGGTGATATGGCCAAGGAGGAATGGGGTGTTGATGGTTATGGATCAATGAAAGGGTTGATAAGGCTTCGAGGGTCTGAGAATAAGGCGGAAGTGCAGGAGGAGGAGGAAGAGGACGGTGGTGGCGGGTCGAGTGATAGTGATGTAGAGGAACATCTGGAGGTAGAACGTAGATTGGACCATGACTTGAGTCGATTTGAAATGATATACCAGAACTATGGAGTAGAGTATAATAACTGTTTGGAAAATAGGGTCGATGATCAGGATAGCCATATAGCACAGTTGGAGGAGGAGAACTTGACATTGAAGGAGAGACTTTTTCTTATGGAGAGCGAGCTCGTTGACATGAGGAGGAAGTTGCAACTTCTCAGGGAGCAAAACACAGCAATTGACGATGTGAATGAGGAGGTAATGGAGAACGTATCTGAGAATGAAGGCGATGGAGGGTTGGAGACGTAGAGTACGTATCTGAGATTAGACCAAACCAAGATGTTGATATTGGTTCTAAGGAGGACGATGAAGAAGTCCTGGAGATTGAGGTAAAGTGGTTGAGGAGAAATACGTACGCTGTTTCAATAATTTTGGGTGTATACATGACACTTAAATTTAAGAAATGGGAAGACCAAAAACTAGTTTCTTACATCAAATACGAAACCGCTCATTCTCCCTCATTTTGTATTCCAAAGTCAGGCGTTCCCTTTCTTTTCCTTGAAATCGCATTCACTCTACCTTCTCACCCACCATGAAATTAGCCCTAGCTTACACGAAGAAGATGAGGACCCCAAGCTTCAAAGTCGCCCCGATGAAGAGCCCCACTTTCTACATTGAGATTGAAGTTGCGGCCATTGAAACAACTTCCCGTTGTTTTCAGGTTCAATTCCAAAGCTTTTTCTCTGTATTTGTTGAAATTTGTCTGACGAAAAGTGGAATATATCTTGTGAGATTCAATTGCTGCAGAAAGTCTTCTACTAGTTAAATGCCTCGAGTTTCCAAGTTCTTGTTTTTTTTCAAAGCTTTTTTAGTCAAACAATGTTCCTTGTGAGAAAAATGTTAATCAAAACAATGTAAGCCTTTGAGGATGTTGATCTTCATAGTTGGGAATCATCGTGTAATGTGCCGATGAGATTCTCCAATCACGGGTGCATGAATCTTCTTGGTAAGAAATGAGGTAATAGTTTTGAGGAAGAAGATGACACCATAGAATCTGTTACTAATCCATGTATTACTTCGGTTGTACCCACACTTAAATGCAATGTGGCGTTTTCTCACATCAACACAGCTGCTCTCTCCAAGTTGTATTATATTATTGTATTGTATTCTTTTTATAACACTGCCCATCTATTTCTTTTGTTGCCATTGTAATTGCCTTGTATAGCTGCTAAATTGTTATCAAAGACTTCTAGGTCTGTTTGTAAATTGAGCAGAGGATTTCATCCAAAGCATTATTCTTCGTTTATTTCCATATTTCTTTGGTGGAGGGGTGTCATTGTGTTACTTTCCATAAAATTTCTATGGTGCAGGGGGTGTAATTGTGTTTAGAGAGAGACTGTGAAGGTGTGTGATTGGCCATGGCTAAGAGAGAGGGATTAATGAGTTTTCGCTGATTTTTTCTCCCTCTTGGTCTTGATGGGTTAAGCTAAGGCAACATCATGAAGTGTTGTGCTGGTTACCATGACGATGTTGATGTTTGTGAGAACTGAGGTCCAATGGTGAAGCTCTAGTTGTTGGCTAACCCAAACCCATCACTGAACCTCTTGTAACTTGGTAACGTTTTCGCTATATGAGAAATAAAATGATTGTGTTGCAACTGTACTTATCCTGATTAATAATAGCGAACTCTGATATTAAAAACCATCAATTTAGGCAATAGTTTTGGCTTGTTAATAATTTCCTATGATTTTCTTTGTTGAGAAATATACCTCTCAAAGCATATACATGCAGAGTTTGTGTCAGTTCTATTGCCTTTTGTTCTTCCTGTGGTTTGGCTTTGTCATTTTTTTTTTTTCGTTCATTGGCCTTGTTATGGTTGGTTATTATGTTAAACTAATTCTGTGTGCTTGAATTGTTGGTGCCGGAAGTACTTCTCTTTGGAGTGGTTGTATGCTTTGACATTGTAAGGTAAGGTATTAATATTAGACCTAAGGTCATTATCGAATTTTGTGCTCTATTGTTATCATCTTTTGATTCCTATAAGATTTACATACCTTTTCTTGGAAAAGGAAATTGATCTTAACTCTAGTCATTTTTGTCTCTATTACCATCTTGCAATTTCAAAAGCTTTTGTTGTTTGTGGTTTCTTTTCTAGTACAAAAATCTCATAACTGATTTGGTTTTAAATTATGCTTTGCTTTGTAGGACAAGCAGAAGTGATTCTTGATATAGATAGCTAATTCCCTCTTCCTTTCTTGCATAAGCATATGTAGCAGCAGAAAAATGCGACATTCTCCTTTGTATTGGAAAGAAAGCGCATAAATATGCGAAGGTACCCATGGAAGTATTTGCAAGATGATAAGGTAGTGAACTTCGATAACTCACGAACATAGATGTCGTTGAATTGTGAGCTCAAGACTAATTAAGGTATGGTTACCAAAGTCAAATTTATTCTAATGAACTTTTCTACGTCTCTTATTTTAATAAAAAATTTTCCATGCAATATGTTTATTATTTGATTGAAGATTTTTGTCTTCAAGACTCAATTTCATCTATAGTCGAAATTGTTGTTGTGTTACTCCATAATTATTGGTGATGCATTCCTGAAAGTTTAGTCATGAGTTACTGCTGGAAGTTATTGAGCATACTTTCAAGTATATGTTTCATATTGGAGCACTTAATGTGTGCCTTCTACCTCACTTGTAAATCTACATGAACCTTTCATGTGAACCCTTTTCAACAAAGCTCCCTAAACCTTGTTTGTAATATTTGTATTTTCGATAGTCGTGTTGCTGTCTCAGGTTCATTGCAAATATGCCATCCAGTATCAATTTGGGCATTCTTCTATGAAGATTCATTTTGTATGGTCCTGCTTTCGATGCTAAAATCCTTACATTTCAGGAATTTTATTGCCTCAGATGTCTTTCCTAGAAGAGTAAATTTTGGAAATTTTGAAGAAACAATGGATTAAACAAAATTTTCCTTTAGGTGCAATCCGTATGCACTCTTAACTAAAAAGATGTTTCCCCAAAATTTGGAGTCCTGATCAATGAACCAATGCTCAATTATTTGAGGGATTGTGCCAAACTAAATTAGAAGGATAACTCTCTCATGCAGCTAATTATCGGTTATTGTTGGGAAAGCAGATGGTGATACGAGGAAGAAGAAAAAATGAGAAGTTAGGAAGGGAATTTCTTATGAAATTTCGCAAATTTTCTTGGATAGGTGAGTTTTAGAGAAGCATCCTGGATATTTCCCTTTTTTTTTTCTTTTTGATAAAAGGAAAAATCTATCCCGCATTGTAGGGATATGAATACCAATGGAATATTTTTACTGTGTCCACCCAATGGTTATTCATTAATATGGCTTATAAGTTTCCCTTTCATTCACAACTTTTTTTTTTGGTTCACACACATTCTTTCAATCGCTTGTACAATTGTTTTCATAAAGAAATTTATTTATTATTCTTTTTTTATAAGGCTATTTGGCCTAATTCTTTAGGTAATTTTTGTTTGACATGTTATTAGTGGGGCATATAAATGCTTTATTGAAGTTTGAATTATGTACTAGAAATGCTTCTATCTGAATCTGTTATACCTCATGTCGTAAGTTGGAGAGATTAAGTGATAGTGAAGGATGAAATGGGGAAGGAATCAGATGAAGAGCTTTGGGCAGACGATGTAGCAAATGATCAAGAAATGAAGGGCAAACTTGTTCTAGGAAGGAAAATGAAAGATAGGATATGGATTAAAATTTGGGGTAATATTTTGCACGCAAATTCAGGGATTAGAAATGAAACAATGGTCAATGATGAAGAAGAGCAAATAAGCATAATTGTTCCTGTAAATATAGTTGTGATGTAAAGGAAGGATGTGAAGAATCAAAGGAGGATTCTGTAACAGGAAACGACTCTTGTTATGGATAGGCCTATTTCAAGAGAAGTGCTTGCACAAATGATTAATTTTGTGCAACGAAATCCACTTTTTTGAAGTGGCATTTTCTTGGAATTCTGTCGTCACTGTTATCTTCTGCAGCTTCTTGTTTATTTCTGACTGATATTTTCTTTAGAATCTCTCTTGTTGGAAACGGCTGATGTTTCTTAATCAAGTTTGCTTCTTGTCTAGCTTAACTTTCAAAGCTTTTGTGTTAGGTTCCAAGTTTTATATCTTTTGTTTCTTCTTTTTTCTTTTGGTGTAATTGGACTCTGTAGTTGAGGTGATGATTCAGTCTGCGGAAGATGCTAGTTTGTGTTTTATCCTTCTTTTATAAAATTTATAAATATATATTTTAGCTTTTTCGGTGTCAGGTTGAGGTTTTCGAGAGTCATTGCGTCAATCATGATGCACTAGTTTGGGGTGTACATACAACTTTCTTAATGTAATCACTATATTTGTTCTTTCTTTTTTTTTTTTTTTTTTGGTATCTATTTCGGAATTATCTGAATCAAATGCTTCTTTTGAACTAATTATGGGGAGTATTTTTGTTTTTGGGTTTTGTAGTTAATTAGTCACTTATCCTCTTAGTTTTGCTTGCTATTTTGGGGTTTCAACTCTGTTATTCATTTAGTTAAGCGGGTTTGAACTATTAGGTTAAGCATTCAATTATGGGAATCATATGCAGGTAGCGATTTGAATCGAAGCTAGTTTCTCCTATCATCTTAACCTCTACTAATTTCCTAATGCGCTATTCAAGCCATTGCTCAACGTTCTGACATATCTTTATTTCCTCGAGCAGTTGTTGGAAGACAAAGCTTGCATCAATTGTTTTCTTTTTGGAGGTTGCAGCGTTTTTGTTAACACGAGCGAGTAAATCAAGTTGCGTCATTTGAATGAGCTTCTTTTAGTGTGCAACCCAAGAAGAATTATGTGATCATGTAGTAAAGACTTACGGGTATAATCCTTTGATAGCCTTTGTACGTCCTCCTCTAGATTCTGATGTCTTCTTGTTACCGTCTCAGTCGTTGACATTCTATGTTCAATTTGGTTGCCAGTAGCTGAATGGGTCAATTAGAAATGGTTGCAGCTGAAAAGTGCTATTAGGAGGTTTTCTGGCAAGCTCTTCAATGGTTTTCAATAGTGCATGGACTTAAAGTTCCCTTGCTTCGATATTCTAAGTGCTTATTCTCTGTAGATATGGATGTCTCCATAGATGTGTATGCCTCCCGTTTGGTACATGTTACTGTTTGATGTAACAAATAGCAAAACTTTTTACATCTGGACATTTTTTGATGTAGCAAGTACACGAACTCCTGTAATTCATGATCTGCTTCATCGATTTGTAATTATAATAAAAAGTTCCTTACATGCCCACCCATTGTTTCTCCAATTTTCTACTTTTCCAGCCACCCAATTGTGAGGAGAGTGGACCAATGTCGAGAATGGGCAGTAAAATGAACAGGAATACGACATCGAGAGGAATGGTTTAGTATAAAATTAGAACTAAAACTCGAATCTTGGGATGAGATTCATTCACAGATTGAATATGATTTTTTCCTTATCTAGCCAACAAAACTTGAGGGAAATAGAGTCTTCGAAATGATTTGGGGTTTTGTACAACTTCAATTTGATGATTATATATTGTTAAGACGCTAAGGTACCATCTTACTTCTATACATGGATTTCTCACCTCAAGGGCCTCCTCTTTTCGACAAATCTTCCTACACCTGCTTTGGTTCGCCGACCCGTAGATGAACAAATAAGATGTTATTGTATCCTCGTGTGATTCTTATCTTCCCATCGTTGTATCTGAAAATAATCTGCCAAGTTAATCAACTGTGTAATACCACCGTTGAATAAAAGAACAACCAAGTACAGAGATATCTTACAGAAGTTGGAGCTTAAACCGGCTCTCCATTTCCACGGGATATCCAAAAGGACCTCCAATAATTGCAGCATCATCCATTGAAACATCGTATGTGTCGTCCTCAGATTTCCTGCCACATAAAAACCCATGTCTATGGCAAATCGAAAAACCCGATAACAATTGGGAACATATCATGTTATGTATTTGCCAGTCGGATTCTGTTCTTCCAAACGATTTCTGAGAGCTTTGCTACGCAATTAAATGAACTATGTGATTGGGAAACTTACACAAAAGTACCGGTCATGGAAAATCTCATTCCAAGCAACATATCCACTCGAAATTTCATTTGTCCATTCTTGATAATCTGTCGAGGTAGGAAGTGTACTTTATGCATGTGACTAGTATAAGGGTATGATTAATTTACTCCATAAATAAAAGTTATACATCATCAAAGCATAATACAGTGATTGCCATTATGTTTACTCTACCTGCATCCCCATGAGACCATTTGCAGCATTCTCTATCCAACTATCTGTTTCCATCTGCAATTTACAGTAATTGGATAAGTAGCTTCTTATGAAACGGGAACAATAGGTAAATCGTCCTTTGCAACAAATGCTGGGAACAATAGGTAAATCGTCCTTTGCAACAAATGCTAAGGGTAGCTAGATGAAATCGTATAAAAGGTTGCTTCTAGAGAGGGATATGCAGCTAAGTGGGTTCCAAAATTATCACAACTTTTTGTGGAGACTATAACTTGCTGATACTCATCTTATGTTAAAACTAGAACCACTACCCCTCGACACTCATGGCACACAGCCTTAATGGATAAGGTCTTATACTTAATTCAAATACTTATTCAGGCTGTCCACATTGTACCACCCTTTCCTTTAACTGATAATTTGGTAACCTATTTTCTTTTGTTCAGCATACGGAAATATGACAGCATAGACTACCTGTGAACTCCATAACATATTCCAGTCTCCCTCGAGAAGCTCCTGTTGAAATTTATTTTCATTCCGATACTCAGAGATGAGCTTATCAATTGCCTGTAGTAGTTCAAGTACTCGAGAAATCAACCGGACGAGAATATAATGAATTTGATTATTCTCTATGATGAGTGTATGTGGAAAGTGCGCTTACCTCATCGACTCGTTTACCTGCAGAAATTGCTAGCAGCAAGTTTTGCCTTGCTTCCGTTTGCTTTTGCAACACAAACGTGGTGCCCTACACTATTACAATGGTTCTCTATGTCCTTAGCAATTGCCAAAGCAACTCGAGAAGTTGCAAGTATGTGAGACATGTTCGAGTAACCGAGGAAAGTGAAGTAATTTACCTTGTTTCCTCTTGAGATGCGGAGGTTCCCAGAGGGAGATAAATATGTGGTGTCCAACCAGCCCTTTGCTTCATCTCCAAGAAGTCTGAATGGTACAGGATATGGAACCTTAAAAGGCAAGAACTTGAAAGAAAATGCTGCTTTGTCAAATTGGAAAAGGATGCGTTTGCCATCTTTCACTGATGCAGCCGCCTACAAGGAGAGAATAACATTAGAAAGCAAGATACTTGAGATTGATATCCGATTATTAAAAGATATAAAAACATGCCTCAACTTTCAGCTCTCCGATTGCATCAGAGAATTTAACAATGTTGGAGACCCGTGGGTCGTTTGTCCGTAGAAAAATCTCTTGAAACACACTGAAGAAATCAACTCCAACAAATGTTCTCTGAAGGAAAAAAATCGACTTCAGAATTTTACTATCTTTTGTCCATATCATTGCTTCAAAGTTTGCACTTAATTGCAAACTGATTATATCTTCGTTCCACACAATCTTATCAGAATTTGAAATTAATTTATAATAATTAGTGACTGAGGTAATGCAATAAAACGTTTTCAAAATCCTTTGTTAAGAAAAACACTAACTAAAAGAATTTAATATATATTAGTCCTTTCAAGATTTATCTTAAAAATTGTAAACAAATACCTTAAAGGACTGTTTTTTTCCGTGGCTTCCAAGAATTCTAGAATTCCTTTAGATCAGGATAGATCTCAAAGTAAAAATCTCAGATGTTTTATATTCACGAAAGGTCCAAAAAAAATCCTTTCTAGGGTCCTAAGTATCTTTTGCTTATAAATAGGGAGAATGTCCCACATATGAGGAAAGCAAGCAAAGCTAGAAAAAAAGTGAATGAGTGGGATTAGAGTCTTCTTTCAGAAGTGCCCATTTTTATTCATTCTCAATAAAAAATTTCTTTCTTCCAAGTCCTTGTTTCTGTCCTGCACTAATTTTTTCAACGACGAGATAATCACCATCTTTTTCGTTGTCTATGGCTCAGGAAGATAGTCACAGTAAATGGATAATCATATTTGATATTTTAATTGATTAGTTTTCAGCAGATTTTTCACCTAATTTTAATCAAAATGCTGAAAGAAATTTGGAATCTAACTTCTGAACTATGATTTAATAATAGTTTAGGTACACGATCATAACATGAGAGAAGGCAATTGCTATTGTTGGAGCACGTTATAAAGAATTCAAATTGAACCTGTATTATGGACGCTGTTCCAGGTCTAGTTGTGAACACCAGCTGCCAACGTCCTTCAATTAAGCTAGAGTTCGTCTGCAGGCAATGAAAGAGAGAAGAGAGGATTAACAAAGACAAAACGTAAAACTTGCAAAATAGAGGCCAGTTATCTTCATTAATTTTCATGCATGTTGAAGATATAATACCAAGGACAAATTTCTAAATCTCTATATGGCGGACAGAAATCTCCGGATTACCACATAATGTTACAAGTTGCTGCTTTAGCATTGACTAATTAAAACAGGACTTTGAAGCATACGAATTTCTTAAGAAGACTGTAGTAACATACAAATAAACTTGTAGAATATGCCGAGTGAAGATGTAACCAGAGCGTAATAAGAACGCCTGGCATTATGGGGGTTCAAGTATCAGAGGTACTCCAACATCCGCCATGAAAGCCAATTCCTTCATATTCCAAAGCTCAAACGAGAGGGTATTTAACAGAGGGAGGCAATAGTCAGTCACCCTGCCCTTCTACCTGTAGTTCCCTTTCTTACCCACCAATTAACTAAAAAACTAATAACACTCCCTTGACCAGATAACAGAAGGGGATGTGGAAAAGAAACTAACAAAGGGCTATCACCAGCTCCCACAAATCTTCATCTACAGACCATTTTGTCTTCACTCATCACCTTTCAAGAAAGGGACTGCTGGACTTACCGACAAAGTCAGAAAGGCTGGAAATTAGTAACCTTTATCTAGTCTGGGCCTTTCTGAGACTTAGTACTGGAGATTAGTAATCAGAGTTTACCCATTGCATGAATCTCAGAAATTAACGCAACCTTTCACAGAGACTAAAACGTTTGGTCCTCTCATGATACGCTTCTTTCTTCCAGGTAGACCCTCTTTTGGATGAGTATTTTTCACATACATTTTTAGTTTCTCTGCACGATGGCATTTTATGCATTTTGAAGAGGTTCACTTTTAGAACCTGAATTAATAGCCTTCCACTCCTTCAAGATAGCCTAACCTAAAAACATGCATTACTCCGCTATAGGTAGTAAGTGCGCCTTTCATTTGTCATAAGCAATCCCAGTACTTTCCAAGACACCGATGTGCTCTTGTCCAAAAGTCTCACGTCTAGCAAATTCAATCTCTGCTGTTCCCCCACGATATTTGCATAAGCAACACTTCCGAGCACTTTTGGATTCCTAAGATCAGCAGGCGTTCTTGTTTTTCAGATACCATGGACTGCAATGCTGTTGGAGGGAACCAGTAGAATGCATGTGAAGTTGTCACCTCTGCTTTAATTTTCTGGTGGGTTTGCAGCTTACTCTACAAGAAGTTTCCTGGTTTCTTTCTGTCCAACCATTTCTAGGGACACTTTTCTCGTAAGTTTCAGACAATTACTTCAAAACTGAAGGATAATTGAATTGATGATTCAAATACTCTAGCCCATTATTAGTTCTCTGCTTCTTGATCTCCTTACAAGTCTGTCTCCACCATCTCTTTCCGCTGCTGAAACTTCGAGAACATGGATAGTGATTTGTGAACTAACAAGCTTGAATGATTAAACCCGTCAAAGTAGTGACTGAAAGTAATCAAAGATACCAAGGAACTATAGTTTTGAATACCATGTATAGATATTTCTACTTCCACTATGAAAGCTAGTTCCTTTCTATTAGAGCTCAAAACTATAGTTGTGAGAAAACCAAAAGTAAAATCGTGAAAGGTTATTTTCAAAGTCCAAAAGTAAAATCATGAAAGGTTATATTCAAAGTGGACAATTATATATCAGTATGGAGGGTCGATGTTCCTATCAGTGGCCCCAGAGGCATGCCCTTATCAGCGATACTAGAGGCATGCCCTTATCTTCATTTAGTCATGTCAGTAGAATTCTCAAGTGCCAAGTAAAGAAATTGTGAGTTTCGACTTTCGAAGGTATAGTCATAGTGGCTCAGGTGTCTGAATAAAGAAGTTGT